ATGATTCCCCTATTTCTCATCCTAATTCAAAAAGAAAAGTTATGGTTATAAAATCTTTGTAGAAATCTTGAGAAATACAGAAAACCATAAGGAAGAAAAAAAATCATCTGTGTACCAACACCTAGGGGAAAAACTATAAATATTTTGGTCTATATTCATTTAATCTTTTTTCTTTGTATATATTTTTGAATATACATATTCAGTAACACACTTCTTTACAGAACTGAGATCTTACTCCAATATGGTCCTCTATGTTCTCTATTTGTCTCATACTTAATGCTGTACTGTGCACATTCTCTCAGATTCTTAAATGTCAAGAACTTGATTTTTAATGACTATAGTATTTTGTCATCTGCTCTGTTTGAGGTGACACCCTTAAATTCACAACTATGTCCTAGGCAAAACAGGATAACGAAAAACAAAACAATCAGCTGTATGTTAATATCATTAAAAACTTCAAAAGGAAAATGGAGGCAGTTATCCAAGTGATTAAAAAAAATTTTTGGAAGAGTTTTCTGACAGAGTAATTGCATCAATTTTATTTTAAGCTATGACTTCACATAGAAATATCTTTCAATTGTTTCCCGAGGTTTTAGGTATAAATATAACAATTCAAATATTTTTTTTAAAACTTGTTTCAACAGAAAAGATAACTGAAAATTTTTTTATATTGGATGGATTTAACACAAAATAAAATACCAAGTCTTTTTTTTTTAATTCAGAAGTTTCACAAAAGAGCCAAGAACTTGAAAAGGATTACACCAGAGTACAAATGGTGAAGTACACTCTTATAGGATACTCCTTCCATTAAAACAAGATGCAAGAGAAAATGGGTTCAGATTTGACTGTCTGAAATTGAGGTATTCCCTACAGATGGTTTTTATTTTCTCAAATATGGCACAAGGTCACCAGCTGAAAATGGGGAGAAGTGGGAGAAAGGGATATTAAAGCTTTGAGAGAAGTGAAGGTATATTATGATAGAACAGTTCATCCAGAGAATGAATAGCTTTGTCAGCCAATATTTAGTGCTCCTGTTGTATGATTTCTTTTTCCACCAATCTTTGCTGCTTGGGTGCAAGCTGTGACAAAGCTTGGTTCCATCCAAGCAAGGCTGAGGTTCTTAAAGAGACACTGGGGTAAGAGTGAGGAAAATGCTTGCAAAAGAGCTTTTAAGGGGATCAAATCTGGGAATGTAAGTGGGGTGAGTTGGAAATAATTATATGACATCAGAAACAGAATAATAGGGGTTTTTTTTAAGTGTTAAAGTAAAGGGATTGGAGGTCTCAGGTCAGTGAGAGTGAAATGAGCTGAAGGAAAAAGGCTAGTGATTAACAATTGGGATGCTTGAAATTGAGATTTAGAAAGCAAAACAGTTATTGATGACAAGGTTCAGTCGTACCACTGTAGTGACTGGATGAGATGGAATAGAGGAACAAGTTCCAGAGAAGACGAAGGTCAAAGATCTAAGAGGCCAAGTGCTGGTGTTGCATAGGTCATCTATAAGAATATTAAATTCACACAGAATGCAGACAAAAAAAGGGTGAGGAAACCTATAGCAAGGATTGGCAGTCTATAACCTCTGAAAGAGAGTGGCCAGGAGGTTGATAAATGATAGTAGTAGTAAAGATGGTAGAGGATGATTTAGTATATGACATGAACTTCAAAGGTTTCTGAAGCAGGAAAGCAGAGAAATAGTTTGGAAGTAGCAATCAGGAAAAAAGCTGTCTAAACTCTGCAGCTCAACATCTTGGCCTTAAGATATGCAAGAGTATGAGAAGAAATAATCTCTACTTTGGAGCTCTACAGCACTTAACAGCAAAAATTATCTTCACTAAAAATAACGGCACTGGGAATCTACCTAGATACTGGGTGCATCTAGGACAATTCTATGTCTGAACTGGATAAACTCATGACTTTGTGGATGATGTAGAGAAGCAATCTCATTAATAGCTTATGACATCAACAATGTTCCCTGAGAAATGTAGAATTTGCATGTACCCTCCTGCTTATAGTGTCCAGGGATAAGAAAAGGAGAGATAAAGGGAATGAAAATGATTGTTTTTGCTCAGAGAATATTCATTTCAGGCATCTAGAATTAAGTTCTTTGTGAATTATATTACCTTTAATATTGGCCTGTGGTGTATAGTACTGTATTTAAAACAATTTTCTCAGACTCAACAGGTGATTTTGGTGGGATGAGGGGGCTTGTGGTGAAAAAGTAGTTTGAGTTATTGCCTTTGAGGATTAAATGACCTAGAAAATTCCTAGTGCAAAGGAACAAAAGCAGAGTTCCTGTGCACCATCTTCAAGTGGCTCTATAACGCCAGCATTGTACACTGCTTACCTCAAATTTAGATAGAGTATTATCTTCAAGTAGGTGATGCTGTTAGAGGTTGCATTTATTCTCTTAGGTTCTTGTCCCACAACAAAGAATTGAAGGGCAGAGACACAGCTGCAAAGCAGAATGAAGTTCATTTGAATGCACTCCAAGGGAGGAGTGGGCCAGAGTCAAGGTAGACAGAGGCAAGAAAGGGGAGCTCATTGAACTCCTGCTCAGTATTGGGCAAATCCCTTGCCAACTCCTAAAGCCAGGGTCATGTGGTGTCTGGTGTCCACTTGAATCTGCATGGCGTAGGAACTGAGCCCCTATCACCCTAGGATTTGGGGGAGCTGCAGAGCACTGGATGGAGTGAGATTATGTTCTAGAACTTCCCAAAGCAAAGAAAGGAGATTTTCCGGCAGGCTACTGAAGAGCAAGATTGTTCAGCTGCAGTCCTGTCCGGGTCACCGAGGCAACGGGAACTTGCAAGCCCAAATCAGAACACTCAGCAGCCCCTCCCTATTTATCTGGAGTAGAACAGAGAGAGTGACACACTCAAAGAAAGGAGCGCGCGGGCAACCTCACTGAGGAGGCATGCCTAAGCGTTTAGGGTCTGGGGTTTTATATGGCTTCAGGTAGGAGTCAGTATAAGGCATGATGTATACAGGTGATTCATAATTCCTTTGAAGTTTTTTCTTAAAAATAGGGTTATTTAGGTGACTGTTGACTCAGACTTCAGCATTCTTTGTTACATAGGTTTATTTACATTTCTGAGGTCTGTCTCCTGTCCTGGTTACAACGTTACCTGATTAAGGCACTGGAAGAAGAGGAAGAATGGCGTATAGGTTAAGTTAATTTCTGCAAGCTAAGTAGATTTTACAATGGCATGATGTAATCGGTACAGTGAGGACGTGTGCGGCACTTGGATCCTTTATCTGGCAGGTATCTGACATTCCAATTCACTCCGGTCCTTAACTCTGTGAGTCCTTTCTGGCTCTCTGGTTTTATCTGGTTAACTCTTTCAGTCTCTCTTGGGGACTGCACTGGCCTTATTATCCCTCCACCCACTTATATCTTGTCTTTCTGCCTAACAATGCCTCCTCCTCTGAGGATCCACTTCAGGGACCTGGCTGCCCAAGTATCCTCAGACCATAGGGCAGCTGTCAGAGGCTAGAGCCTTTCTGTGTAGACCACCCTAGTCAGATCAAATATAGCCCTGGTAACTCTGACCCTTTTCAGATACAGCAGCAAAACCACTCTCCTAAAAACTACTAACATAGGCCAGAGCCAAACTCTTCAATTTAGCAAGGCAATGATTTAGCACCATAATTTGCTAATCCAAATAGGGTAGAATAGACCTATCAACTGTAGTCTTGCAGAGATTATGCTCAAGACTGTGGTGCTCTGCCCATAATTTGAGACCATACCAGAAGAAACTGTACTGTAGCATGCACCTTGCAGATGGGGCAATCCCACTCACGTTAATTGCATTTGTGGATTTGTGGGTTCCCAGTCACTGCAAAATCACAGTCCTCTGCCTCTCAGCTCGATTCCCCTCTCTGAAGATAAAAAACGCTTGCCTGTGTGCCCAGGGAATCTAGCAGGGGAGTAGGGGGGGAGAATGACGTAACTTTTACAAAGTGTCCTAAAAATCTACATAACAACGTGCCAATTAAAATACAACTGATAATTTGCATTACTGAGCTTATTACTATTGCTTAAATATACTGAGAAATTAAAATTAAAAATTGCCCCTAGGAAAATCATCCATCATTAAAAGAAATGGTTTTCTCAATTTGAACAAAGTGACTTAATTCACAGGAAACATTTTTAGTAAAGGTGTTTTTTAAAAATTTACTCCATGCAGATATCGGGTGGATGTTTTTTTTTTTTCTAAGCAGCTTATAAAGCATACTTTGGTGGTCGTAGTCTGGGGAAATGATTAAAACTTCCTAAATCCAAGATCGACTTATTTCCTTTCTTGGAAAGAAGCATCTTGAAAGATGTACGTATCAATAAGGAACACAAATATTTGTCATCAATGGTATTTGTTTTCAGGAAGACATAATTGCAGCAAATTTCTAAGATTACCAGTTTATCATTTGAATCAGTAATCTGGTTTTGATAAGGTTCCCATCCTAACTACAGGTCACCAGGCTCCTCTATGATTAAAATTTAATATGCACCGTCTCGTTTTAAGTTGCCCACTAAGGCAGTCCTAAATGTTTAGCTTCATTTTGTTGTATTGAACGTAAGGTGTGATTAAGTTATAGTAAGATACTTATGGTGGAAGGATCTAACCCAGAGTAGGCTCTCACCAAAAATGCAGTTTAGCTCCAACTGTTCAAATGAAATAATTTATAAATGTCCCAACCTATCGGGTAGGAAGCTAATGTTAGTATTTGACGGTACAATTTTTAAGTCAGACTCAACGGCATTTTAAAGTGCCCAGCAGTAGATATCTGTCTGGCCTTTCCTGAATTTCAGGAACAAAAGAAGCGTTCGCAAGCAGGGACGGGGTTTCACTGCTCGCTCTTCCCTTCCTTCCCCTCAGTAATTCAAATCCAGTAGGACGAGTGCTTACGAACACGCCTCTCTTTTCTTCCCCATCAGGGCTAGCTTTTGGGGAAGGAAAGGATGCGGCTGTTAGGCGGATCCGTGTCCTTCGGTGCAGAATCTAGGCCCAGCCCCGGGTCCTCGCCGTCGGCGTGAAACCGGCCGGCTTTACGCGGCCGACCCCCGGGGAGGAAAGCTGCTTCTCAAGCAGGGAGAGGAAACCGCGCACAAAAGCGGCGCGACTCGGGCCTTATCAGCGTCTAAGAGGAAGGGTGGAGAAGGGGGAAACCGAAACAGGCCAGACACCAGGGATCCCGCCCGAGAGGCTTTTAAACTACGTTTCCACCACCTCTTCGCACGGGGCCGCGGCTAATGGAACCCGCGCGAGGCGTCCCTCCAATCGCCGCCGCGCTTCCTCCCGCCGCGGGCCAATGGCGGCGCGCGTTCTTGGGGCGTGGGCGAAGCAGGCTGCCGTCCCTTGCCTGTAGTGTGTGGGCTGGGGTTGGTGCGGGCTCCTGGCTTGGCCCCCCAGCTGGTAGGCGCTAGTGCTTTGGGGGCTTTGTGTCCGGCTTCTGCTTGGCTTTGTGTGTGCGAGTTTCTGCTTCGCTCCGCGGCGCTCCTCCCGGGCGGGAGCCCTGAGGCTCGCGGGCGGCGCGCGGCCCCCCCGGGCAAGGAGCGAGCGCGCCGGCGTGAGCGGCGGGTGTGAGGGCTGCGGGGAGGGGGATTCGCCGCCGAGATGCCGGAGTTCCTGGAGGACCCCTCGGTCCTGACGAAGGAGAAGTTGAAGAGTGAGTTGGTCGCCAACAATGTGATGCTCCCGGCCGGGGAGCAGCGCAAAGACGTGTACGTGCAGCTCTACCTGCAGCACCTCACGGCGCGCAACCGGCCGCCGCTCGCCGCCGGCGCCAACAGCAAGGGTCCCCCGGACTTCTCCAGCGACGAGGAGCGGGAGCCTACCCCGGTCCTCGGCCCCGGCGCCGCCGTCGCGGGCCGCAGCCGGGCCTCCGTCGGCAGGGTAAGGACGGCCGGCCGGGGCCACAAAGGCGGCGGTTGGCGCGCACGCAGCCCACCCTCCGCGGGGCCCCCGCGGGCCTCCGAGGCGGTATGCGCGCCCGGCCTGGAGGCTGGCCTCAGTCTGCTGCCTGTGGCTAGGGAAGGGGAGGGCGCCGGAGAGTCGCGTCGCGAAGTTGGGGCCCCCCCGCCGTGTGTCTCTGAGAGGTGTGAACTCGGCGTGCACGCCTGCGGTGTGTGTGGGGGACGAGCGCGTGGAAGGCTCGACGTTCCTTGACCACCGGCCGCCGGGGGTGGGTATTTGGACGGGGGGCTTCCGCGCTGTTGCGAAAAGCCCGAACGGGGGTCACCCCGAAACTACTGTAGGTTACGTTCGAGCGTTTTCCCGCTTTATTAACTGAAAGACTAGTAACCGAGTCTCAGAGCGCTCCCTGGAGGGCAATGTGTGACACACTAATTTCTAACCAAAATTTGAAATAATGAAATTCCCGCCATTTTATGTTTTTGCATATGGAGGGCTTTTTGAACCATTTATTTTGTGGTTTGTGTTCCTCTTTTCCAGCAACAGGCCATCGGTTGGCGGGGCAACGTTACCCAAAATTAAAACGCATTTTTAAAATATGTCTTTAAGTGGTTACATAGACTCTCAAATATTTGAAAATTATAGTTACTAAGGATTTTTTATTCCTCCTTTTTTGGTAAATTTTGCTCGAGGAAAGATTTTTGGAATCGGGAGAAATGTTTCGTGATACTTTGATATGTCAATATTGCAATGTGGAACATCTAATCCCGGGCAAATCTCACATTGACTGCAGCAAATGTATTTTGTTTTGAGAATAGCTTGTTTTCGTGTTCTGTGAGTTTTCACATGCTATTTTGTTGGTATGAACCTGCCTAATTACCACACTACAGTGAATCTGTAGAATGTAGTTAAGACTAGTTATTGGTAGAATGTCCAATGCTCTTTATTATAGACATTGAATGTGGAGTTTGAAGTTGCTGCTTCCGGTGACTAGTGTAACTCACAAGTCCTGCCTCTTTCAAAGTTACACTGCTTAACTTTAGTTTTTAAAAATCTGTGATGTTTTTTCCGGACTAAGGTACAAGTAGATGTAATAAACACATGTAAACATAATGGCAAATCTTTGCCTGGTCTTTCGAGAAATTGAATCAAGTCTGAACTCGGTGCCTGGCACATAGTAGTGCCAAAAAATATTTTGTTCAATAAATAAAAGGCCAACTCCACCTTATTATTTCTGATGTCTTGTTTTTGTGGCTTTAAAGGAAACTACTTGACTCCTTTATAATGTATAAAAAACAAATTTATTTTTGCAAAACCTATTCCTTACCAGTTTTTCCCCAATCCCTTTGAAAAAGAAATATTGTGTATTTGGTTAGATCTTTTATTCAGATCTAGATTTGAATAAAGATTCGATTGAAAATAAAGTATTTTCCATTTAAATCAACACACTTAAACAGGTCTCTGGAATCCTGTATTGCTGTTTTCTGCAAATGTGTTATTCTTGAATCAGGGATGTATTTGGTTGTATGTTTTAGAAGTCATTCTTATTTTGATAATTTGTTTTCAACAGAGACAACCATCTCAGTTTTAATGTTTTTCCTTAAGCAACTTTTTAAAAGAGATTGTCCCAATCTACACTATGTATTTTGGACTGTAAGAAGACTGAATGTAAACATTTTTTATTTCAATTTAATTTATTGGGCACAGGAAAAGTATCTTGAATTTACAGGAAAAGAACCTTAGTCACTTTAAAGTAGTATGTAAAGTTCCTCTACACAAGACATTCCCTTAAAAATTCCAATATAGAGTCACATTTCTTAGTAAGAGAAAGCCAAATTGAGAGTTGCAAATTAAGCAGATTTGTTTTTAACGTTTTAAAACAAATCAAACATTAATGTGAATTTGGCCAAAGGCATAGCATTTAAACATATTTAAATATGAGTTTGTGAGGAATAGTTTTAATGAAAGAGAAATTGTTTCATTTTATCCATCACCATTGTCTCCTTTAGGGTCACTTGGTCTTATATAACCAAAAAACTCACATATTCAAAACTTGGTTTGGGTTTTTAGTTTCCTTCGAAGCTTTATGTTGTATGCATCTTGATGATGCCAGGATTTTCAGATGTTGATATTATCTAGATTGTTGACACAAAAATAAACTTTTTCAGAGTTGGCAGTCAGCCTTTTGTCGCAAGGTGCAAAACAGTATAGCTATTTGGAGTGCAGTGGAGCATAAGCATTCTTGAATGGTCTTCTCGTGTGGATTATGCATTCTTAACAGGAACTATTTAAAGACATGGGACAGAACAGCAAGAAGTATGTTAGTAATGGTAAATGTTAATAAATTGACCACCATACTCTAAGATCCTAAGTAAACAGACTTCTGAATCATATTCAGGTGACCTTGAACATGAATACTGCCTGTCAGGTGCTCTGTTTTCATCTGGAAAATAGAGATAATCTAATAACTACTTAATAAGATGGAGGATTACAAGAGTTTACATTCCTGGATGTGTGTAGTGCTCTGCTATTGATACGTGTTACAACATGTGACTTCTGATTCTTTTTTTCCTTATTTAATGCCAGAGCAATACAGTGTTACCATAATAAAGTTTTCAGAATTGGATGGGGTAAGTTTGTGAGCTGTGTCCAAACGTTACTGTATAACATGGTATTTAGGTTGCCTGAGTTAGCTGTACAGCTTTGGGCTTCACTTTCCTCTCTGGTAAAATGGAGATAATAGTATTGATCTCATAGGATTTGTAGTATTCAGTGACTTAATATATAAAAGGCACTTAAAACACATCTTGGTACATAGGTTAGAATCTCTTTTATAATAATTAATGATAGAGGTTAGAAAAATATGAGTAGCTTATAGGTGATATCATAGAATTATTGGATTTCATGTTGAAAAAGTCAGTTGGTAGTTGTGAAGAACTGGGCCTGGCACGTAGTGGGTACTCAGTGTTTTTGACTGAGTGAAATTTAGGATTACATGATTTACTTAAAGGAACAAAGCTCTCTGGAGGCAGAAATCAGTACAAAGAATGGTTCCTTCTTCCTGATTGAAACTACCAGCTTGATAATTACATACACTATACTACCTGTCTCCTAATTATTCTTCTTAAATTTGATACTTCATAAAATGGCATTACTTTTCTCCCTATAAATTAAAAATAGAAATCAGGTAGCCTCTTACAAAACCATGCTCTGTGTTTACCTTCTGCCAATTTTTTTGCCTCAAGATTTCTTTTTAAAGCTGTAGTTTTACATTAGGTTTTAATAAAATACAAGAGAGCTTGTTTCCTGCTTCAATTTGGTAAGCCTTTGTTATTACCTAATAAGAAATAGGTATTTTTAAAATAAGTGACTTATTTTCCCCTGCCCAGATGATACATTGATTCATTCAACAAAACATCTACCAGGTGCCTATTCTTGTGTCAACTACTCTCCTGCTCCTTTTTTTTAAAAAAAAGAGATGATTGGGATACAAATAGGAATATGACAGTCCTTATTATGCTTTCTGCTACCTTCTTAAATGCTGCACCCAAATCACCTGAAACAGATATTAAAATACAAATTTCACACCCAAGATTAGGACTCAGAATGGGGTCAGACTGTAAAATAGGTGTAACTTTTCCAAAAGTTTTTGAGGATTTCATACCAAACCGCCTCTGGGAATTGCTCAAGGAGTTCACTGGAGAAAATAAAGCATGTATACAAATAACTAACAAAAAGTAGGTGGAACGTGATGATTGCCAAAGAAAAAGATTTCTTGAAAACCTCATGCTGTGGCAAGAAGTTGAAATTCCTGAATGTTTCGTTGATAGAAATTGAACATTCTTTATGGTAGGAGGGATTATCTACAAGTAATCTGTACCTCATTGATTTTCTTTATTTAAAGTACATTTCAAATAACATAACATTTATGTTGTGTAATAAGAGTTTTTCTTCCCAACTTCACCATGCTTTTTAGAAAATAGGTCACTAACACGAGAGTAGGCGTGTTTGATTTTTCAATAATCTTTAAAGAATTTCAAGACTTTGTTATCTAGAACTCTTAGACAGTAGGCAACTATTTTGACATTAAAGTATATGATTTGCTTCAGGATTTGAGCCTGATGATCCCAAATCAGTGTAATACAGGTTTTAAAGCCTATGGAAAGTACCCTCACTTTTTAATAGCCATCTTTTAATTAAAGATTTCTCTTGAATTGACATCATTCTTATTAGCAGCTATCTTTGAAAAAATGTTTTATCATCTTGCTTTATTTAAAGTATTTCAGATTCTAACACTTGGACAAATAATGCCTGATTTTTTTTTTTAACCCACTAGCATCATTGGGAAGTAAGCAGTATCTACACCTTTATGATTTTTGCCATTTTGCATAAAATATGTTTGGGATGCAGGATCGACTCTTGTGCTTTAAATAGTAATTTGGGCCTAAACTGACTTTGATATTTGTGGCCATTAAACAGCCATTTTTGTTCAGTACTCTGATGCTTTCTGGGATTACTGAGACATTTGTAAGGCTATTTGTCTCAACCCTAAAAGGTACCCATACTTTGTTCCCTTAATTCTGTTTAACCTTGGAATTTCATGTTTTTTTCCAGTAAATGCTGTATTGCTTAAGTTACTTTTAAAAACTTTGAATTTTCTCTCAAAGCTTGTTTCACAGTCTGAAAACTATTCTTAGTGAAATGGTCATATAGAATTAAGCATGGTAACAAAGCTGTGTCAGGGTGATATATAGGCATAAAGTAAGTTTGACATCCTCCATGTGTCAAAAACTGGCTACCAAAGTCACTATATCAAAAGAAGGTTATCTGAGTTCCTTAAGTTCTGATATGCTTGCTTAAAGGAAATCACTTTTATAAATAATTAAGTATAAACCTTTATGTTAAAGTCTTAAACATTTCTAGATTAATTTAAACTTTTAAGGCTAATTGAATGAGGCCAGGGGTAAATTATATTTATGATAATCTGGATGAAAATGTCTATTTGCTCTTTTGGATTTTTTATGCCATCCCCTCCCCCTGTAGATGAATCAGCCAAAATTTGCTATTTTAACGGCAGTATATTTAAAATTTGAGTTACTTCCTTGGCTATTAGGTTTGTATAATTATAATTGATTTTAGAAAATACTGCCAAGTGATTAGTTTTAAATTTAATCAAATTGCTAAGGCTGAATATAACTGTAAATCAACTTGAAGGTGATTTTGTGTGTTTAATTGTATATGGTATTATTTATATAGTAAATGATAACTGGGCTTTGTTTACAGAAAGCCACAAAGAAAACTGATAAACCCAGACTAGAAGATAAAGATGATGTAGATGTAGCAGAGCTCACTAATGAAGACCTTCTGGATCAGCTGGTGAAATATGGAGTGAATCCTGGTCCTATTGTGGGTACGTTGATAACATTTCAAATCTTCTAAAAGTGAAGCAGTGTCCCAAATTGTTTTCCCCTCTTGTATAACAGAGTTTGGATTATAAAGGCCTGCCTATCATGAATCGTTTATATGACCAGGACCTTAGTTTCCTTAACTATAAATGAGGGGAATAAAATGAGAGATTTAAACTAGGTAATATTTGAGATTACCTCTATTGTGGAGATTGTGTCTTATGGTGCTCGGAGCACACTACCTAGTCAGACCTATGTGTCTTATGGGATAATTGAGGAAAATATGAGGAAACTTAGTTGGCCAAATTCATCCATATCAGTAAGTTAGTGACGGACCTGCTAATATAACTCAAAAATTATTCAGTGCCTGGTATAGTACCTGCTTTCAGTTATCATTAAAAGTACCTTTGAGTCTTGCCATGATGGGGATTCAGGAGTGATACTATAAAGAACAAACTAAAGAAAGAAAACTTGGAACGAAATAACACTGGCTTTCCACCATTGGGTTGCTGTTAGTTGGTGATTTTGTACGGCTCATTATCCCTTAATTCTGAAGGGTCTTTGCAATACCCTCAAGATGATAAAGGTCTAATTTGATCTTCTAAGTTATATAAAATTTTGAACACTGCAGATTTGGAGGGTTGTTTTTTCCTGTGGGTTTTTTCCAAATGAGGATTTAGAGTGTTGTTTTCTGTTTCATTTAATGCACTGCTTCCAAATAGATTATAATAAGCACATTAATATAATTACCTGTAGACATTTCATTCTCTTTTAAAATTTTTCATTTAAAATTCCAAAAGATTGATGCTGGAAAATGTGTCATATATCAACATCCTTTAAATTGTATGTTGGTATACCAGATGTTCATTTTTTCTTTTCCATCCTAAGGTGTACAACTTTATGTTTGATGTACATAACATTGTGAGATGGTGGTCAGTCAAGCTAATTAACATATTCATCACCTCACATAGTTTTCTTTTGTGCGTATATGTATGGTAAGAGCACGTAAGACTTACCTTTTCAAATTTCAGGTATATATCAAGGTTTTGTTGAGTACAGTCCCTGTAGTATACTAGATTCCATTACTAATTCATCTTGCAATTTTACCCTTCTGTCTAATTGGTATATAATTTCTATTTGTAACACATTTTCCATAAAATGTCATTTCAACTGCTAAGTAGTTATATTTAAATGTGATTTAACACCTTAAATTTACACAGTGTTGTATGTCAAATACATTCAATTCTTAAAAAGAGATTTATAGAACTTTTGCCATTAAAAGCTGTTTATAGGCATACTAATTTCTCAGGGTTGTGGGGTTTTAATCATAGTAATTTAGAGGACTACAGTCTGTTGCTTACAAATAATTTTTCTATGAAGGCAAGTACTGTTACATAGTGTTGGAGAAAATACACAAAGTCCAAAACTTTTCAGTCAAAAATACTCGTTCGTACGTGGTTCTGCAGTAGATGATCTGTAATAAGATCTGTATTCATCTATGTATTCCATGCTGTTAAAGGAAACATTGTAATCATGTATTAAAATCTCAGAAAAATACCTGTTTTAGAAAAAAAATCCATGATAAATGATTTTTAAGCACTTAAGTTCAGAAAAAAGTGAAAGTAACATTTTAATGTTACTAAAGATAATGCCTAAGCTGAATCTTAAATAATAAAAGTGCTAAGGTAAGTTCTGCCTTACTATACAGGAACAACCAGGAAGCTATATGAGAAAAAGTTGTTGAAACTGAGGGAACAAGGAACAGACTCAAGATCGTCTACTCCTTTGCCATCTATTTCTTCTTCAGCAGAAAATACAAGACAGAATGGAAGTAATGATTCTGACAGATACAGTGACAATGAAGAAGGTAAAATTTTAACTGATGTTAATCAAATATCTGTAACTTTTTCAGATACAGTGATCATGAAGATAAAACATTACCAAAATACATGTGATTTTTGTTCATATCATTAGAGTAACCCTCCATGTAACTTGATTTAAATACCTTTTGTTGATAAATCTAAGGAACAGAAAAGTACAAATATCTAATTTTTTGTCACCTAAAATTACCAAGTAACTTTTTCCTTTTTGCTTTAAATCTCATTTTTCTAAGAATAAAGTATTACAAATAAAGACAAAAATCTCCCACTTACTCTTTTTACAAATATCATCTCCACAGAAGCAATTTCTTTCATATGATGCTTATCTTTCCAGCCTGTTTTTAAATACTTTTTCACATGCATCTATCAAATAATGATATTATTTTGTACTTTTAAAAAAATCTATATAAATAATATACTAAAACTTACCACTTGCTCTTCTTTACTCTGTGTTATATAGTATTGTGATCTCATCTTATGGATTTATTACATATATGTCTGGTTTATTGTGAGTAATTAATTTATAGCAGGTTTTTTTACATAAGGCATGTTTTCTCTGTTTTCTGTTGATAGGCATTTAAATTTATAGATTTTGCTAGATGATCTGTTTTCAAGGCAACTTTAAAGCAAATATTTGACATTTTTAGTAGACTTAAGAAAATTGGGCCATGACGTGTGAATATTTTTGAGAATAGTACAAGAAATAAATGAACTCTTCAAACTTTATTATTTAAAACAATTTCATATTAATAAACTTTTAATTCATATGACTTGGTAATTTCATGATTAATTTGACCCAAGTTGCTTATGTTTCTATAAGCATTGTCTACCAGGGCACAGTCAAATTGGTTGTTCAGAATATGAAATATATAGTCTTTTCCTTCAACAGCACTATGTTAGCAAAGAGGCAAAGAATAAAATCAGCTTAAACACAAGTAATGCTTAAACTTCCTGCCTCTTTTGCCTCTACAGGAAAGAAGAAAGAACACAAGAAAGTGAAGTCCACTAGGGATTTTGTTCCTTTTTCTGAACTTCCAACTACTCCCACTGGTGGATTTTTTCAGGGTATTTCTTTTCCTGAAATCTCCACCCGTCCTCCTTTGGGCAGGACTGAACAACAGGCAGCTAAGAAAGTACATACCTCTGAGGGAGATCCACCTAGGGAACCTCTTATTGCCACAACTTTGCCTGGCAGAGAGCAGTTTCAGAAGTTAGCCTCTGGAGAGAATTTGTTTATTTCCTCCAAATCTAGCCATAATAGATGTTTAGAGAAAAGTTCTTCGACATCTTCTCAGCATGAACTCACTGCCAGGTTGGTCTCTGCTGCAGCTTCTCCTTCACTGATTAAAGAAACCACCACTACTTGCTATAAAGACATAGTAGAAAATACTTACTGTGGAGAGAAAAGTGGAATTCAACCATTACGTAATAAAAGGTCCCATGTTTCAGATCAGTCAGCTCTCTCCAGTAAGAGGAAAGCACTAGAAGAGTCTGAGAGATCACAAGTAATTTCTCCACCACTTGCTCAGGCAATCAGAGATTATGTTAATTCTCTGCTGGTCCAGGGTGGGGTAGGTAGTGTGCCTGGGACTTCTAACTCTACACCCCCACTGGATGTAGAAAATATATGGAAGAGAATTGATCAATCTAATTTTCAGGAAACTGAAACCCTGTCTCCTCCACGAAAATTTCCTAAGCTCAGTGAAAAGTCGGTTGGGGAAAAGGATACAGGTTCCTCGGTAGCATTTCAAAATGTACCTGGATCTGAACTGATGTCTTCTTCAGCCAAAACTGTTGTCTCTCACTCACTCACTACCTTAGGCATAGAAATGCCTAAGCAATCACAGCCTGATGAAATAGATGCCTCAGAGATATCTTTTCCCTTCCATGAATCTATTTTAAAAATTATTGAAGAGGAGTGGCAGCAAATTGATAGGCAGCTGCCTTCATTGGCATGCAAATATCCAGTTTCTTCCAGAGAGGCAACACAGATATTATCAGTTCCAAAAGTAGATGATGAAATCCTGGGGTTTATTTCTGAAGCCACTCCGCCTGTAGGAACTCAGGCATCTTCCACTGAGTCTTGTGATAAACAGCTGGACTTAGCACTTTGTAGGGCATATGAAGCTGCAGCATCAGCGTTGCAGATAGCGACCCATACTGCCTTTGTAGCTCGGGCTGTGCAAGCAGACATTAGTCAGGCTGCACAGATTCTTAGCTCAGATCCTAGTCGTTTGCACCAGGTACTTGGGATTCTGAGCAAAACATACGATGCAGCTTCATTTCTTTGTGAAGCTGCATTTGATGAAGTGAAGGTGGCTGCACATACCATGGGATCTTCTACTTTAGGTCGCCGATATCTCTGGCTAAAGGATTGCAAAATCAATCCAGCTTCTAAGAATAAAATGGCTGTTATTCCCTTTAAAGGTGAAACATTATTTGGAGGAGAAGTATACAAAGTGATTAAAAAGCGTGGCAATAAACACTAATAAAGTCAAGAGTAAATACATACATTTTATCTTTAATATGGGAGACTTAGAAGCTTTTCTAGGAATCCCAAGTGCCTTTTTGCGAAAATTTTCCTTTAAAGTCTTTCTAGTGTCCAGATTGGGCTAATTTCAAGCTCCTACCCAGCAAATTACAGTCTACAAATAATGGCCTGTGTAAACTACATTTTTTAAAAGTTGCACAGATAGAAAGCCTGATAGTATTTAAAGTTTTCTAGATCACATCTTTTCCTGTTTTACTTAAGATTTTATAACTCTTCAAAATTAGGAAAATTCCATTAACTAGAGTATAGAGACTTCAGTTTTAAATACTAGTAAATATCCTTTCACTTTCAAAAACTCATCTACATTTTTTTCTCGTTTTCTTACTTTTGTTTTTTACTTCTGTCTGCAGTATCATTCATAATACTTATATCTGTGCAACTTAAAGTGCCAGTCTTCAAACTGTTACTGGTCACCAGACAAAATAAGCATGCTCCAGAATTTGAACCTAGAGATATTTTAGGTCAATGACAAGGTTTATTTTTGTGTTAAAATTTTATTGATAAAACAGTATGCTGATGGACATCTGGTGCAAGAGCTTCATGGACTGGCAGCAAACAGTTCATGGACCAAACTTTGAGAAATATTGCTCTAGGTCAGTTCTGGAGCAGTCCTTTCTCACCATCACTATAGTCTGTCAGATGAACTAGACAATGGAAAGATGGGCTTTTTTTCTTGTTTTTTAAGTAACACTTTCGAAGTATGTTGTAGTTCATGGATGATTAGGCTTAATCTAAATTATAAAAGCAAATTTGAATTACTAGCTTTTTCTTAAAAAGTCCTAAGAAATACGCCAATGTCTATGTGTCTATATAAAGCTGTATATTAACCTCTGTTTTCATTTCTTCTTGTAAGTTGTAAGACAAGTTATCTGTAGAAACGTTTGGGTTTTTGGGGGGGGTTTTTTGTATTTTTATGGAAAGTAGTAGTAGTAAGTATAAGCAAAATATGGCCCCATGGATACTCCTAGCCATTATTATATTCTTAGACTATACGTGTCCATCTCTGTAGCTTTCTTGGAGTAATTTTATTTTGTTATTTGTCTTCTGAAATGTACATGTATACATGTACCTACTAAGTGCTATGTGATTTTTTTTTTAATGTATTACTGTAGAATGCTTCTGCAAATTCAATAAAGTTAAACTTGAACAGTTTTGTGTGGTCTCCAGAAACATGTTGTATGTGTGTTTTATTCTTGGAGTTACAACAAGTTAGATACTTGCGGAGGAACATCCCTTTTCCATTCCATCACTGAAACTCAACTTGACATTCTAATGGTATAGTTGAAAATACATTTTACATGGTTTTTCTTCAATTTGAAGACCATGTTTTATTGGCTGTTGGAATTTAAATTTGTAAGAGGAATTAATATGTAACCAGATTCCTCATTTGTTGTTTCATCAATTTCTTTCTGCTTAACTACTATTGGGTATTTTACTTTGTGCTTTCTAATTTTTTGATTCTGAGTTAACAAAGCATAAGATTTTATAATGCTAATGATTGTCCCAAATAACAGGTATATTAATAGAAGTATTGTGGAGTGGGGGATAGAGTTGATACCTTAATTGTAAAAAAAGTGATTGATTATTTGGACTAATGGTAAAAATCACTGGTTAATTTTGGGAGACTTGCAAGTAGATTCTGGACTGATGTACTAGACTAGATAGCAAGACACATAGCTCTCAGCTCACACTCCCTTAAATATACAAAACAAAGCTTTATTCAAGACTTCATTTTTGTCTGGTAAAAGTAGTCTAACAAATTGTTGGTAATGCAAGTTTTAGAAGTAACAACTGACATTAAGTTTGCTATACTGTGATAAATGGCCACAAAACTGGGGACATTAAAATTTTTATCTCTTTTTTCTTTAAATCTAGCTCTTCAAATGGTAATAAAATCTAGGAGAATGGAGTATTGAAGCCTACAAAAGATACATATGAATTGTTAGGTTAACAGCCATCTTGGTGATGTACTAAGTAATATGCAAGAGCTTCTCTTCAAAGAAATAGTACTTATATTAGGAGGAGAATTGATCTGTGATTGGTTGTACTTTCTGTGAACAAGATTCCTCCTTATGTCAGTTGTACCCAGGCTTTTTATAATCACATCAAAAAAGAAGACTGAAGAAATTTAAACTGCACTTATGTATTAACATCACTGCACTTGTCATTAGAGGCTAGTACCATACAGGATGTTTTGTGTGTGTGTTTTTCCATTCTTAAAATTCCCTATAGGTTTTCTTCCATATTCTAAATTTTTAACAGCTAACCTTTGTTTATATAGTAGTAGTGACTGTATGGACAAAAGAATGATAACTATATTTTAATGCCCTTTTCCCACATTTGTTTTTAGTGAAAAGCTGCCCTAGGAGCAATTTGAATTCAGGTTATGCTTTAGGCTCAGTCCCAGAAAAACAAAAGGAGACTGCATAGAAAGAAGTGATCAGATTAAGAAGTGGGGGTGATAAAACTGGAATAAAATAAGAATGGGAAAAAAAACTTTAAACAGTTTTGGTCTATTGAGGTAATATGAACAGACAAACTTGTTTTACATATTAGTGTACCTGAAACCAGGGTTCCAAAGTAATGTTAGGATGACATAGTTTATTATGTTTCAGAAAGTAATGGTTTTTCCAATATTATTTCCAGACTCTAAAATAGAGCTCAAGCTTGAGAAGAGAGAACCACTAAAGGGCAGAGCAAAGACTCCAGTTACACTCAAGCAAAGAAGAGTTGAGCACAATCAGGTATCTTTAGTTTTATGATTGCTGTATTCAGGTATAAGTAATCGGAGAACACTAATTTGCCTGTGTCCTAGCCTTTGGTTAATAGTTGTCACCCAGAGAGTGTTCATTCCATTGTTCATTAAATGGTATTAGAAATTGAAACTTTTTGTCAGTAGTGTATCCTGTGCTTACTGCAAAACAAATGTTTAATGTCTCATTTGTGTTTGATTCTGTGCTAAGTGTGGTTCAAAGCCAGTCATACTGCTTTATAAGAGAAATGTTTTAAAAGGTGGAAATACCTAAGCAATTCTGACATGTAACTTCTAAAAGTTGGGAAGGGTTTTATGTTTGTGTCTTTACCTCTAGGTTTCTGGCTTTGGTTTTACTTCTGTCTGTTTTCTGTGGCTTTTTCCTCAACTCTGAAGCTAGTCTAGTACTAAAACCACACTGTTTTCTTTGCTATTTCTAGATGAAAATTTAAATCTTTTATTATTGTGGGTGAGGTAAGATGCAGTTTTTCAAAAGGAAAATTGTAGGAAACTAGGGGGAAAATAAGCAGATAAAATTAACAGATATAAATGAACTGCTTTATAGGAACAAATTGTTGACTGATCTAGCATTGATGCTTTTTAAAACAGCCATCCCTAGAGTCATTTTCCTTATCCTTATTCTGCCTAGCTGGAAGATTTGTCTAGTTATTTATCTTTTCCATCTTCTCTGTCATTTTAAAGTCACACATCCTCAGAGAATGGATTCTTGATTTCTTAAGCCATGTCTCATGGTTTGGTGTAGGTGATGAGTTGAATTTCAGATCTCTTTGTTAGAAATGAGCTTGGTGGCTGTATAGAGAATGTATGTTGAATGAAAGAAGAGTTTGTTTAATAATAGAACCAAATATTAGAATAAGTACTTTATTTTCCTTTTATCTAGTATTGCTAGGGAAGAGCTGCAGGGGTGTGCTGAAGAATAAGGAATTAATGGAGCAAGAGAAAGTAGGAAGTCTGGTGTAAGGACTCTAAAGTAGACAATCATGGAAAATTATGTTCCAGAGTATGAAGCCAAGATGGCTAGCAAGAATGCATAACTGGTCAAATAATATGTTAAAAGGAGGAAGGGTGGATGGTATTAAAGATGGTTTCAGGGGAATCGTTTGAGTTAGGCAATCTAAACTAAAGGATAGGATAATCAAAGGAGAGAGTCAGTGTAGCAGATGACAGGCAGAATTAGACAATGGCCTTATACAAAATTCAAACCATATAGAAAAGTGGAGTCAAGAGTTTAATGACCCTCACCAGTTACAGACCCACAATAATTACCAGTGTCTCACTACTTTAGTTTCTTCTTCACCAGTGCCCTCCAGCTTTTTAAATTCTTTTTGATTTTGCTGTTTTGTTTTTTGCTGGAGTATATTAAAGTAAATCTCTGACATAATATCATTTCATAAGTTAAAATGTCAGTATTTCAGTATGTATCTCTGAAATATAGGGGCTGTTTATATATATATATATATAAAATGCCTTTATCATACCTAATAACATTAATAATTATTTTCATATCTAATCCATGTTCAAATTCCTCTAGTTTCAGAAATGTCTCTTTATGACTAAATTATTCAAATCAGGATTCAAGCAAGCTCTACATATCATTTGGTGTTTTTTGTTTTGTTTTCTCTCAAGTTTACAGCTATAGAAAAGCAGCCACTGTAACTGCTTCCCCTCCAAATTTATTTGGCAAAGAAACCAGTTCTGTTCAGAATTTCTCATTCTGAGCTTGGAAGATTGCTTCTTCAAGTGTCATTTAACTTGCTTTTCTATACCCTTTCTTTCTTGGGAGTCAGTAGGGCTGTGATAATGGGAATGTTCTACATCTTTTGTCTATTATGGTAGCCAGTAGCCCCATGTTGCTGTTGAATACTTGGAATGTGGTTTGTGTGGCTGAGAAACTGAAGTTTTATTTTTTTATTCGATTTGAATTTAAATAGTCACCTATGGCTAGTAGCTACCATATTGGACAGCACAGGTTTAAGGTGGTTAGATGCAGGTTTAGTTTGACAAGAATGCTTTACAGATGATATTGTGGCCTTCGTTTTGCATCATTTCAGGAGGCACAAAATAAATTGATGATGCTAAAATAAATTACTAATAGGTACAGATGTTGAAAGCCTGATCCATCCATTATAAAGTTCCACATCACTTGTTAATGGTTCATTAGTGGTTGTGACGGCCATTTGTGATTATTGCCTAGATCATTATTTCCTTTGAGGTTGTAAGGTGATTTTTCTTATCCCCTTATTCTTTACAATTGTAACTAGAGCTCTTTTATGGAGAACTTTGCCTCATGAATGAACTGCTTAGTTACCTTGAAATAAAATTCATACGAGAGCTAGGATAAATCCTTACTTCTTCCCTTTTGTTTTTGCCGTTTTTCAAATTGAAGTGCCCTAGTCACTTTGAAAGGTGATCAATATGATCTTTTTACTAGATGTTTTTTATATATCTGATTTACGATTCATTGCAATCATTATTCTTTTTTCATGTTCAAATTGTGCCATTTTTAGCCACTGGAAATTACTGGGTTGGTTCCTGTATCCTTTGATTGACCCTGTTTGTCTTCTGTAATTTCTTGTTTCCTGGCACAGTAAGATGTCCCAGGCTCATGTATATTTCCTGCCTGTTAACATCAGTCATTTTTCCAAAAAACCTTAATCACTTTAATGGGAAATATTATTTGGGTGCTACCTACAATCTGGTTTCTAGACTGGTACTACTGGGTTGTCATTGCTTCTCGCCCTTTCAGTAAAGAGAGCTTATTTTTTAGAAAGAAAATAAATCATGAATTCATCAAATTTGTGAACACAGGCTATCTAACTTATATGTGTTATACTTGCATTTCTTTTATGCTGACTACCTTGGTTCTTAAAATATTGTTACTTAGTAATTATCACTATATATATGTTTCTAAGTAATACAGTATTACAACTAATAAACTGCTAAGCGCAGTTTTTAATTTTAGGAGGGGCCGGTTTTTACTGTCTTTAGGATATAAAATCAGAATACTGTGCATAAAGTCACTTGAACAAATTTTTTTCTTTTGTATTTATTTTTTAATCATTGAGAATATGTGGTTTTATTTAGGCAATATGAGATGGAGTCAAATCTGGCTGCTTCTTTCCATCCACCAGTTACCATGTTTATTAAGTTTTAGTTTATATTTTGTTTCTTTTTAAAAATAAAAGTAAGTACGTATATTTATATATTTATTTATGCTCTCCTTCATAAAAGGCAGCCTGCTTTGCACATTCCTTTTTTGTTGTTCTTGATCTATACGTATATCCTAGATCATTCCATATCAGAATATCATATAGCCCTCTTCCTTACTGCTTTGTACGGCTGTATGGTACCACACTTTATGGATGTACTGCGATGTATTCAGCCACTTTTTTTGCAATAGATATTTGAGTTACATTCATTAATGTGCTATTTTGAATAATGGAAGGATGAACCAGTGAACAGCCTTTTTCATGTGTGTCATTTAATATTATAGGCTTCTTTGATAGCTCAGCTCCTCCCTGACCTACCTAATGTCTTCTGAATAAACCTATCAAAAGGCAAAAAGTGAGAAAGTCTTTGTTTCTTCCTGCTCTTTTCTTCATGATAAATTCAGGACCTTGTATAGAACATCTTGCTGAAAATAGATGGCACTGCAGTTCTTACTTTGGCCACAGAGCATATAGCAATCACATTGACTACTAACTTGACATAGTAGTAAGTTTCTTTCTTTTCAATCAAGAATTGTTTGATCCATCTTACTAAGTAGTTACAACATTGAATATAATTTTATTATTTTTTAATTTATATTTTCTTAAAGTCACTTGTTATAGTAGATTCTGGTAGGAAAAAAAATTTTGATCTTGGGTACCTTTTCAAGTTGTATCATGGATTGTAAATTAACTTTATGTGAACACAGTAATTCCAAATTATGTAATGATAGTCAGGAACTTAATAGAATTGGTTGATATGCTCAACCAAAGAATTTAATTAACCTGAATAAAGGAAACTATAAATGATTAATAGTGAAAAGTGTCCTTCTTGTATCTGTTCCCAACAATTCCCACATGCATCCAATGAGTTTCTTTTGTTTCCTTCCACAAAAGAAAATAATCTTTAAATGGAAGTGGCCTTCAATATCAAAGATTAATGTGATTATTTTTTCAATTACCCATAATAATGCCAAGAGATGTTTGGTAATATTTTTGATGAGTTTATTTTAGTTATTTACTCAAAATAAATATCCAGAATAAAATACAATAAATGGAAAGGCCTGGCATTTGATAGATAGCCAATTTTAAGGAAAAAGGATGGTTCACCCACCCCACTCCCCAACCACCACTTTACCCTCCATGGACATAGGTAAAATACCTGGTCTTCATCGTATGAACTTTCTTTGCCCTTTCAAGAAAAAAGGTTTTAAATACCACTAATTCTTTTTCTTGGCATTGAAACAATTGATTATTAAAGAGGAAGCAGTTTTGAAAGTAGTTTAAAAAGTATACATTTGGCTTTGAGATGCATCATAAGTCATTTATGTGATCTTAAACCAGTTATTCTCAACCCTGACTGCACATCAGAATCCCTTCAGGAGCTATAAAAATTAACTATGCCCAGGGTCTTCTAGGAGAGATTCTGACTTGTCTGAGGTGGGTTGGGAGCAATTGATATTTTTTAAAAGCTCCCCAGATGACACCATGCTGCCAGGATTGAGAATTTATTGTTCCTTTGTATTGAAATAAACAGGAATTTAACTGTTAGTTAAATTTGAGCTTATTTTAGTTATGTACTAACGCCTTTATTATATGTGTTTAATTTGGTCACAAGTTTGTCTTTTGAGTAGCATTAAGTTTGCATTTAGCAAATATTTTTTAATTGACCGCAAGAAAAGGAACCCAGAGATTTAGATTGTGAGTCAAAGAGAAACTCTTACCATGTCAATCTCAAATATAGATAAAATACAAAATCAGATACATGTTTATGTTTATACCTTGTGGGGAAGTAATGCTTCCAGCCAAAAAAGCATACTTACTGGATGACTACTCTTTTCTTAGGATAAGAGTGAAATATATGTCTAAAATTAATAGACAGTGACTTGGGTAGAAAAACATACATTATCTAGGTAAAATATCAGCTGAAAGCAACAGTGACAATATAAGCACACTCGTATAATACTAATCATTGTTGGATGTTCTATAGTTAAAAGAATTTGAAAGAACCATCTACTAATTGGAGCTTCAACACTGAATAACTTGCTGCTTGGAATGCAGAATTTGAGGCCCCAGCCAAGAACTACTGAGTCAGAATCTGCATTTTAACAAAAGCTCCAGGTGATTGATGTGCACAGTACAGTTTGAGAAGCACGAATCTAGTTTTCAAATTATTATGTAAAACCTGCTAAATTATTTTTTAAGTGAGGAAAAGTCAGTCGGCTCTTCAGGGAGGAGTGAATCTGGAGGGTAATAATTGTGTATTACTGTTGCCTTTCTATCTTCCTGTTGTGAGGAGGGTGTAGCACTAAGATTAGGTGGTGACATCTTAGGCTCATGTGTTCATTAAAGAGGTGATCAACCACCAGGCTTTTGTTGCTGCTTATTTTTAATACCTGTTCGTAAGAAGAGTTTGACACCTGGAGATTTTTACATTCAAATAGCTGGTAAGATTTAAACTGACTATTTAAATCATTCCAGCCACATGATTTAATTAATCTTAGGCTAACAATTTTGAAATTTGTATTTTTATAATACTTCTTATATAAATGACTTTCTTATAAATCATGATTAGCCTACTTTTTTTTAGATAGCCAGAGATGCGATACTATAGCCATAGAGCAAACAGCAAATCACAAAAGGAGCCAGTGATAGATGATGTGCTTTTTCGCTCATTTTTATTATAATTTGTGAGCTCTATGGTTGGACTCTTTAGGGTATTTAACCATATTTGAAGTGTTTTCTGATGCCTCTCTATCGGTTCAATTAATATCATTTAGAAATATTTTGAGGGCATAGCATTGTTTGAAAATGCTGGTGTTTGGAGACTTCATGGCTTCACTGTGCTAATATGGCAATTATTAAGGTGTTTGATGTTAGAATATGACTTTTAATGTGTCGATGCTTGAATAGAGCTATTCTCAAGCTGGAATAACTGAGACTGAATGGACAAGTGGATCTTCAAAAGGCGGACTTCGGCAGGCATTAACTAGGGAGTCCACGAGAGGGTCGAGAAGAACTCCGAGGAAAAGGGTGATTCAAGGCTTCTTGCTTAGAATTGGGTTTTCAGATTGGTAGGGCCTTAGTGATGATTTTATATTTATTGTTTTTGTTTTGTTTTCAAACTAACAGGTGGAAACTTCAGAACATTTTCGTATAGATGGTGCAATAATTTCAGAGAGTACTCCCATAGCTGAAACTATAATGGCTTCAAGCAACGAAACCTTAGTAAATATGTTTCATAAACTATACAAGTGGTATTCTTTGTAAATTAACCTTTAATTAGAATTGGGGAGGTGGTACATTTTGGAAATCTCAAACTTAATGGTTTTAAATATTTTACTTTAAATTCATTTTCCCCATATAATTCTGAATATTAGAATCTTTCAGTACAGCCAATTTTATATATATAAATTTAATTCATTGTGCAAGAATCCTAAGTATTGTAAGGATACTTTTCTGATAAAATATTTCAAGAATAATGAGCTTCACATGTGAAGCCTGAGTGTGTTCATGTATAGGTTCTTTTGCCTAAATTTTTATTAAGGAAAAGTCAAATATTACAGAAATAGAATATCTTTTTTTCTTTTCTTTTTACATGTCTTTGTTATGTTTGGATAATTCTGAGTCTGAATAATTTGAATCTTGGCAGGTTGTCAATAGGGTGACTGGAAATTTCAAGCATGCAGCTCCTATTCTGCCAATCACTGAATTCTCAGACATATCCAGAAGAACACCAAAGAAACCATTGACAAGAGCTGAAGTAAATGCATAAAATTTAGATCGATGCTATCATTGATCTTTGAAAGACAATATATTTGTTTTTTGCAGTGGGAGGGAGCAAAGCTTTATTGGGTGTGGTTGTGTGTGTGTGTGCATATATTATTTTAAAAACATACTTTTATTAGTGACAATGGAAAGTAACTAATATAGTATGATGTGCTAATACTATCCTTTTGCTACTGTGTGCCTCTTAAGTTCCAGTTTTCAAAGAAGTGGTCATTTGTGTGCTGCTTGTAACATGTACTCCTTGTTATGGATGTGTTTTAAATGTTATTGGGCTGTGGGGAAGCTATACTGTATTTTGTTGAAAAGTCACATGATGGGACTCTACATGATTTTGTATGATGCTTGAATTTATTAACTCGTATAATTAAGCTTTAAAGTACTGACTGCATGGTACCCTATAATTTTAATGAATCTTTAAGGTTATTTTGATCTGGGCATAAAGGTAAATGCAGCAAAACAACCAGGTTATTAAATTGTTTTACATTTTTAAGTTAGGATGATTGGATTGACTGTACTTAAAAACAGTACTAAAATTTGTTAAAGATCCATGTTAATTTGATCTCTTCTATATTTGATTATTTATTACAACATTGTTAGCAGAGGAAGAAATAGTATACTCTTAATGAAAAGCATGTGAAGTCCAGTGAGGGAACTTAGGCTGCCATATTAGCTGTACTGGATTTTAGGTTTTTGTTTCATGTTTTTAACTTACTTGAATGTGTGGCAGTCTCCCCACCACTCCCCATAACCCCTCAAAACGACATTAACATATTTTCACATTGAAGAAGTTTGGAGAGAACCTTGGAAGTGTGTGGATACTTAAGCGATAATGAATTTGGAAATAGCAATTACAAAAGCTACGATAGATTTAAGTGCATTGTATTCTCTGATACTGGTATTTGAAATTATGTTTTAATTAATGCACATTTACACTAAATTTTAACTTGTGATTGTTTGTTTCTTATTAGGTGGGAGAAAAAACAGAAGAAAGAAGAGTAGAAAGGGATATTCTTAAGGAAATGTTTCCCTTTGAAGCATCTACACCAACAGGAATTAGGTATTCAGATAACATTGAAACAAGTATTAGTATATTCTGTTAGGGCATTTCTATTACTTCAGCTGTTCTTTTGGGAGCAGTTTAATTCTAAGCTACCAGTTAATATTCTTGAAAGTTAGGTCAGTTTTGTATTATAAATTATTTACCTACTATTTAAATCCTATTTTTAAACTTAAACAGAAACATATTGAGAGGGAAATCCTTTTTTCCCCTAAGCTCTCTTTTCTAATTGAGAAGTCTATGTAGATACCTGTTGAATTGTTCTCTGACTGAAGGAATTACAGCCAAACTACTTAATTTTTTTCCTCTCATCTCCTACATACATTAGTTCTGAAAGGTCTTTAAGAAGACAAGCCTAGTGAATATTTTCCATGTTCTGAATATTGGAAAATTTAGAGCATCTGAACTTTTCAAATGAAAGGTGTATAGAGGTTTTCATTAAGCCTATGACCTCAACTGTTCATATGTGACGGTTTTCTACTGTTAACTCAAGGAATGTTTTTGGAATTACGAGTGGCAATGACATGTTATGTTACCCAAATCATGACTGCACCTGAAGTTTATTTTCTTCTTCCTCTCAATCCCGACAGTGCTAGCTGCCGCAGACCGATCAAAGGGGCTGCAGGCCGGCCGTTAGAATTCAGTGATTTCAGGATGGACGAATCTTTTTCATCTAAATACATTCCTAAGTATGTGCCCTTGGCAGATGTCAAGTCAGAAAAGACAAAAAAGGGACGCTCCGTTCCCATGTGGATAAAAATTCTGCTGTTTGTTGTTGTAGCCATTTTTTTGTTTTTGGTCTATCAAGCAATGGAAACCAACCAAGTAAATCCATTCAGTAATTTTCTTAATGTCTCTGGAAAATCCAACTGAACTATATCTCTTTGGCACATTCAACTTGGTCTCCTATTTTTTTTAATAACTGTATAAAAAAATTTGTGTATACTCATTAACTCAAGAACAAAAAATAATGTGATTTCCCCTCAGTAAATGTAGTATTCCATTGAAAAGCAAACACGACGCATAAATGGCTTCATTTAAATGTTTTGGACTTTAGACTAGTAGGAGATCACTTTGTGCCATATGAATAATGTTTTTTAGCTATGGAACTTTTTTGTAGGCTTTATTTTTTTAATGTGGACATCTTCATTTTTGAGAAAAATGTACATTGTTTCTGTGTATTTGGGAAACGAGAAGTGCAAATCATGGTAGTATAATGTGAAGCTACACATTTAAATACTTTAAATCTTACAGAAAAGATTTATTCTCTGCTGAATAAAAACTTTAGAGATATGTGAAACATGAAATTCAGTAAGAGAAAAGGTAACTTGGGGTTGTACTTTTTGTAATTGCAACAGTTTGATGGTGTTTATGGGGGAAAGTACAGCAATAATCTCTTCTGTAATTTTTATTAATAGTAATGTTGTTGTAGCCCTATTGTACTCATTTTTTAAAAGATTTCTAGTATCATGAAATTTCCTACTTCAGTAAGACCCATTTAAATACACTTGATTTTTAGCAGGGATCTTTGTGCAACATATACATATGTGTTAGAGAACTGTTAGGTGACTGTATGTGTTTTTAAAAGCTGGAGCTTTTAAAATTATTGGAATTTTTGGCAATTATTGGCAATTATTGGAAACTTACACTTTTTATTTACAACAAAACATTTATTCTGTCAATCCAGTTTGCTACCAAATACCTTTAAATAATATGTGTGTGCGTCTGTTTAGAAGTTAGAAACTTTAGACATTGGTCTTAGGTTCCATTTGGATTTGTTATTGCTTTGTCTTCTGTTACCAAAAACAAATTTTGCCGTTTTTTTCCCCTGTATTTCTGAACATAATTTGATTTGAAAGTGCAAGAAATATTTGCTTTTTAAATTACATAGTAAACTTTTCTTGGATACACAATAGTTAATACATAAATTTATAAACTCAAAATTTGAGATGGGCATTATGATTTTTGTGTACTCCTGAAATGGTTGCTTTATTTTATTTTTTTAGCTAAAACTTACCTCGTGCATATCTAAGTTAAGTAAAGTACTAGGTAATTGAAATTTCAGTAGAATCAAGTGAAACAAAAATTTTAAACTTACTCATTTGAGTTTCAACTTTACCATCATTGACCATAAAGCACACTAAAGATGTAAGTTATTTTTAAATATCATCTGAAATAAAAAGGTTTAATAAAGGAACAAGCTGAAGATGTATATTTACACCAGCACACAATTTTAATTTGTATTAGCCCTTTCTGATATTTAGCTTTTAGATATTTTCACTTTGTAATTGGCCAGAAACATCTGTAGATTTGTTCCCACAGGGGAAGTGGGAAACTTAACTCTGAGATCAGAAATGCTTGCCTCTCTGAGTAAAAGTCTTTCTTTGAGATGAGCCACAGAGGGGGCACATTTTACTCAACCTTTCTGCTGTATAGTAATAGCCTACTTCTACTTTCTTTTTCTCTAACCTTGTCTCCCATATTATTTTCAATCTTGTTTATAATTAGAAATTGTGACAAACTGCATTTAATGTTTAAAAATGTGGGAAGATAAATCAGACTTAATGTATATGTAAGATCAATTTTCTAATAGGAAAGCTATGGTCCTAAATAGCAAAAGTAGGACCAGGTAAAACATCTAGACTTTTTTTTAATATGTACTTGGTCTTTTGTCTGTGTCTGTTTTATTCCACTAGAATAAATGTGTCCTTGATGTAAATGCAAAGCATTTCTTCCTGATTAAAATGTAGATGTAGACTTTACAATATAATTCAATAATAAAAAAGTAATTAACCTCTAGTTTTGTCATTGTAATAAATGCTTTTCAGATAGCCCAAACCGAAATTTCCTGATAACGTTTCTTATGTGGTATTTATGGATTGTTGAGTTTCCGTTCTCATTGAAGTTTGTTTCATGTTTTGCTTCTATTTGTAGTACTCTGGTCCTTGTTTGCTCCTTGGTAAGCAATGTACAGCCGTTATACTCACAGAATGACATGGGGAAACTCTGAGACACCTCTCCCACTCTCTTACCAGGTAGTAACTAGTACTTGTCAGTCTCCATTTCCCTTTTTTCACCACTTTCACTGTGTTAGTACTTAACCTGTGGCACTCATGATTGTTAGTCTTCCTTTGAGACTAAGCAAAGATGTTACTGTAATATATTCATCATGGAGTTGTATTCACAAGATGAAAGTGCCTTTATCTCCATCATTTATGTATCCCCCAAGGGTGATTTAATTTAAATTAGTGATTCTCAAAGTAATATATACACTGTAATTAATCAGAAAGCAAATAGCATCAGAGGCTTAAAATAATACAGTGTACTTTATTGTATGTGCTAGATATGTTCTATGCACTTGATATGTATTGACTCAATCCTCAAGATGATCCTATGCAGTTGGTGTTTTCTTATCCTATCATTACAAATGAGAAAATTGATGCTAAGAGAGGTTAAGAAACTTGTCCAGGTTTGTACAGCTGGCTAATGATGGTTCTGTTTGCATATGATATGGCAGAGAGAACCTAAAAGACCAGCAGTGTATACATAGTGTCACCTGTCCTGTTCATTCTTGCTCCTTCTACAACTTTGAGGATACCTCAAGTTCCAAACCTCTTTAGGATTTCTCTTAATATTCACTTCTGGTTGTACCCTTTCTTTACCTTGTTACTTCATTTTCTATTTTTTTATCTGTTTTCCATCTTCATAGAGTTTTTTGAAATGTATTGTCTTTTGATGTATCTCTCTCCCATTCTGTCATTGTGTTAAGCATTTTAAAATCCTTTTAATACAGTCTCAAGAGGAAGAGGTTATAATGTTGCCAGTCTTTCACTTTGAATTAGTAGTTACTGAGAGCTTTTCAGAGGTCACGTACCATCTTGCCACTAAGATCTGAGAACGAAGTAGAGGAGAAGACACAGAATTTGAGTGTAGGGGGTCTTAAAACATATTATGTTCTGATATACATCATTAGTTTGATATTTATGCTATGTATTTGTGGTACTTTGAAATTGATGGCTTATAAAATTTTACCACCCACTTTATTTATTTGATGCCTCTGTGCCAGGTATAATTTTCAGCAGAGTGTATGGATGCAGTTTTAGAAATATCTTTGAACTTGTATTTGGTATTGTTTTAGGAAAATTGTTTTTCAGTTTTTTGACCATTCCATTAACTTGCAGCACTGCAGATTTATTAGCAGTTTACATGTTACTATTAATTGTTCTTTGGTTGTGAGAAGTCAGTAATGTTTAACCATTGTAAGTCAAAGAACCAAAGATCTGTCAGCTTGTTTGAAATAAAGCAAAGCTGATTATGAAAATCAGATGCTTTTATACTACACCAGTATTGACTTTATTGTCCAGAATCTAACATGTTGATCTTGTGATAGTGAATACTTTGAAATTGGGAAGCAGTGTGAAGTGTGCTTTCTTTTACTTGTCCTACTAACAAATTATCACAGTTTGTGTTTTGATTGAGAGAAGAAATCAGTTATATTGCCATGTAACCTCAAAACTTAGGAGCTTCAAACAATTATTGCAGTTTCGATGGGTCAGAAATTGGTCTGACTTAGCTGTGTGGTTCTGACTCCAGATCCCATTACTTTGTATTTAATCTGTCCAACAAGGCTGGGGTATCATCTGAAGGCTCAGCTGGAGCAGGATCTGCTTCCAAGCTCACAGGGTAGGTGACAGGTCACAGTTCCTTAATGGCAGCTGTTGGCTGGAAACATAATAGGTTACCTGAGTGCCCTCATGACATGGTAGCTGGCTTCTCTGAAAGCATTCCAAAAGAGAAAGTGCACCTATGATCAAACCCACACTGTTTATGTAACCTCTTCTTAGAAATGATATACCATTACTTTTGCCTTATTCTATTGGTCTTACAGATCAACTCTGATAAAGTGGGGAAGAAACTACACAAGAAGTAAAAGTACTAGAAAATAGGGCTCATCTTGTAGTTTGGCTAACATAACTACCTTAAAATGAGGGGTTATATAGCTACTTAATCTGGAATTAATATAGCATTTGGAAACATGTTAATATAGGGACATTTCTTTGGAGTGTTCACTTTGATCTGTTCAGGCTAAAAAATTGATTATAAAGTTAAATGTGAATGAAAACAGCAATGAGACGAGGTAGATTTGTTACCTTTCAAAGGTAAATTCAACAGACTTGAGAAGATACGGTCAGAGAAGGATAAGTAAAAAATTAGAGGTTTTTTTACTTGGTTGTCTTAGTGGGAGGTGGTGCCAGTTTCCGAAAGAGAATTCCAAAGACTATAGATGGGTAAAAGGAGGGACTTAGGGTTTGAATGTACTGATTTTGATATCCCTGTGGGAAATTCTAGTAACTAACAAAATACTTGACACATAATAAGCACTCACACTATATACAAATGCAAATGGAGGTCATCTGTTGGGTAACTACCTTAGCAGCGAAAGTAGAAATAGTTAGGATTCCAATATATTCCAAGTGGTGGGAATATATAAGGTTGTCCAGATTTGGAAGTCAGAAAGGGCTACAGATGAGTATCAGTATTCAAGGTCTGGGTATTGAAGGAACACCAGGTGAATGCAGTGTCATTAAAGAGCATTTTAGGAAAAATGGTCAGCAGTTACGCCAAGCAAAATGCAGGCAGAGGAAGATGTCTACTACATTGACCATTGGGTGACTTTGGTGACAGTACTTGCAGTATTTTGACAGGGACAGAAGTATAGACAGCTCTAAGAGAATAAGGCAGTAGCTTGAAAATTGACAGTATGTCAAGGAAGGGTTTTTGTGTCTGAAGTGAGGCCATACAACAAGCATGTACATCAAGAAACAATGAAAAAAATCCCAAACTCATCTCCCTTCTCGTTTCTGTCCCTCCCCAACCCCTGTGTAGAGTAACCACTGTGCGAACACAACACCATGGACTTTTTTCCCCTGCTTTTGATGCCTTACATGTACTCTGAGCGGCTTTAACTTCACTTGTTTATGAGATTAATCTATATAATTGTTGGGGTAGGTTGTTTATTGTTATTGTTATATTGTGTTTCATTATGGGTATAGCATAATTTATCCATTTAACTTTCAGTGGGCATTTGGGTAGTTTCAAGGTTTTGGCCATTGCCAAAGCACTGTGACCATTTCTGTACATGTCCTTTGGTGGGTGCATGTGTGAGTATTCTGTCTGTTGGGCTATAGGGTTTGCTTCTGTGCCAGTTGTCTTTCATACTGATGTGTAGAAGTTCTTTATATGTTCTGGATAGTAGTAGCCCTTTGTCAGTATATCAGATTCCAATCAGGAGGCAGAAGTGACACCAGTTATTTGAACAGAAATAATTTAAGGAATTACTAACCAAAGTTACTAGGTAACTGAAAGAGTACTAAGAGAATTTTGATGTTCTGTGGAGATGGCAACTACAGCAGCTACAAAACCTAAGGGCTAGAGAGAGCAAAGAGGTTGAAACTATTAAAAATTAGAAGCTTGGAACAGGAACCCTTGGGGCTGAAACAGACCTCTGAAGAGGGAATGCTGCCAGTTGAAGGAGGGGCACAAAGAAACTCCACACTGGATTCAGCTACTGTTAGAGGAAAGAACTTCAGCTGCCAGAGTCATCGCTGAGTTGATTATCACAGAAACTGCAAGATAAGTCCACAAGAAAGAACAAGTCTCCCTGTTCTCCAGCATCCATTAGCAGAGTCTTAACAGGGAACCAGCCTGCAGAGCAGAAATGTGGTTGCAGAGTCCTAACTTCAACATCACAAAGCAGAATAAGGGTATGTGGGGCAAAGAGACATAATTGGTAGAAGTCAATTTGCAAAATTAACTCAGGAAAAAAATAATAGTGCTGTACCTATTAAATTGAAAATATAACTTCAAACACAGAAAGAAAGCTCAATGGTAGAATTCTATCAAGACTCTATAATGAATTTATCAGGAATATAATAAAAAAAACATCCCGCCAGTTTTGCACTCCCAAGGACCAGAAATCAATGAGTCACTTCTCAACTTGTTCCATGCAATTCTGTCAGTGAAAGGATGACTTTCATACCTATATATAAAAATTAGTGCTAGAGAAATTAGATCTCTATATAGGAAAAAACCTTGACCCCAACTCAACTATGCACAAAAAATCATTGAGGTGGATCATTAACCTAAACAGGAAAGCTAAATTCAGCTTCTACAAAAAAACATGAGAATATCTTCTTGACCTTAGAGTTGGCAAACATTTCCTAAATAGAATCTGAAAAGCACCAACCAATTGGTAAATTGATTTCATACTAAGAAGTACAAATCAAAAGACATTGTTAAGAAGTTAACAACTCAATGGCAGAAGATAACCCCAATACATGTATATGACAATTTACTCAGAATAAGTTCTGAAAATAGTACATGATCTGATTCAAATTAAAGTTCAAAATGAGAGAATTAACACTGTTTAAAGATGTACAGATGATGATCAACCTATAATGGTTTGACTTAACGATTTTTCAGCTTTATGAGGGTCCAGAAGTGATACACGTTCAGTAGAATTTTGAATTTTGATCTTTTTCTGGGCTAGTGATGGGCAGTACCATACCCTCTCAGGATGCTAGGCAGTGGCACTGAGCCACAGCTGCCAGCAGCCATGCAATCACAAGGGTAAACAATTGATACACTTAGAGCCGCCACAAAACCATTCTTTCATTTTCAGTACAGTATTAGTCAACATGTTAGTTAATATAAAGTAGGCTTTGGGAGTTAGTAATTTTGCTTAAGTGTAGGCTAATGTAACTGTTACCAGCACATTTAAGTCAGGGTAGGCTAAGCTCTGATGTTTGGTGGATAAAGTGTATTTAAATGCATTTTTGGTTTATGACACTTAGCATAATGTCCTCAAGGTTCATCTTGTTATACAGCATGTTGTAAATTGTATATCTAATCAGAAGTTAATATCCAGAATATATTTTTTAAAACTACAACTCAATAGCAGCAAAGCTCCAAATAACCCAATTTAAAAAATGAATAAAGGACTTGTAGACATTTCTCTAAAACAAAACAAATGGCCAACAAGTGTATGAAAAGGTGCTCAACATCACTAATCATTGCAGAAATACAAATCCAATGAGCTATCACCTCACACCCATTAAGATGGCCACTGTCAAAGTGTTATCTTAAGTGTTTTGAGAATGTGGAAAAATTAGAACCCTTGTGTGTTATTGATAGGAATTGAAATAGTGCAACCAGTATGAAACTGTAGATTACTCAAAAAAATAAAAATAGAATTAATCATGATCCAGTAATCCTACTCTTGGGAATATATCCAAAAGATTTGAAAGCAAGATCTGGAAAAGATATATGTGCATGCCTATGTTCATAACAGCATTATTCACAATAGCCAGGAACCCAAATATTCATTGAATGGATAAACAGTGGGATATGTATATACAATGAAATATTATTCAGCCTTGGAAAATCACAAAATCCTATCCATACTACAACATGGATGAACCTTGAGGACATGCTAAGTGGAATAAGCCAGTCACAAAACATGCTGTATGATTCCACCTACTTAAAGTATCCAAATTAGAACAGAGTAGAATGAAAATGGTGGTGCAAAAAGTGACTGCCATTATCAGGTAAGTCAAATTTTTTCTTTGGTTAAATGGTCAGAAGGGCTTTAAGTGATGTTTATTTAGTTAAATTAGAGATGTATTACTAAGGGTTTTTTTTGGGGGGGGCGCGGTATTATGAAATGGTGACGCTTTACCTAAGACTATTCTAAATACATATAACAGAAACAAGTTAAATGGCATCATCAGTAAATATTCCCTTATGGGCTGTTTTGTTTTGTAAGTGAGTGATTTTGGATTGGTTTGGGCATTTTTACCATACTGAAGAGAATGGTGCCAAGGCATACACCTATTACTGTCTTACTTTATTCGTCAAGAGTGTCTGGTATTTTCAATCATGTGATTTCTACCTTCCCAATATTCTACAAAAAGAATTATTGTTTTATGTATACAGGTCCCATTTATGCCACTTTCACACTAACACCTTGAGTTAAACAGCTTTGAATTGGAGAGTTGTTAATAAATTTTAAACTTTTGGATGAATTCAAACAACCGTAATTTTTTCTCATAAACTATGTAAATTTTACCATAAATTTTTAAAGCCACCAAACATAACTACTTTTAGACTGCAGTGTCAACTGCTGTAGTAAGTTCTAATCAGCTAACACACATGTACAGTGAGAACCCCAAACTACCACATCTTGTACTGTAATCTAAAAAAGCATAATAAGGGTTAATAAACAGACTTTGGTTAGTCTGTTTACTTCAGGCCTTTAAACAT